AGAGCTCCCCTGTGCAACGGGGCGGATGCAAGTTCTTCAACGCCGCTGTCAGGTGAATCACAAGCAACCCCTTCAACCAAAAACAAACATTCAAGGCTCCATTGGGAGATGGGGACGTGGGAATTGGAAAAAAGGTTCAAACTTTGTACCAAGAAAGAGGCCACGGTTGCAAATCCCAAGGTCTTGTAGCGCCCAAAGTAAGTGTCGCAGAGGAAAGCTCCGATTATGGTGACCAAATTGGTGCTGCCATTGAAGATATTGAGCAAGGTCCCGGCCGTGATGCTCTTCATGTTGAAGACTGAAGTTAAATAAATCAAGAGGTTCGCCAAGGTTCCAATGGCTCCCAGCTTCTCAAAAGTCTCATTCCCTGAAACCACAGAGCTGCATAAATTGTAAACTTCATAAACAGAATACAAAACACACGAAACAGAGCTTCCTCTGGCTTACCTATGACAAAGGGCATGGCCTTCCACCCTCTGTAATGTAACTCAGTCTCTCCATCATAAATTTTCTGAACCGCTGCCTCATTTTTCTCCATGGTTTCTCTGTGTTCGGTGCTGGCAGTGCCCAGTAAGGTGTATTTATCCCATTTTTATGGATGAAGATGAAGTTTAAGCGAGGGAGGGGTAAACGTAGAAATTTCAGAGGCAAGGAGGCTATTTTATGGAAAAAATCTTGCCATTATAATTTCAACCTACAAAATAGTCATATCTATTATAAATTTTTGTTTACGTAGAATCCTTAAATATCCCTCAAAATCATGGTTCTTTCTTTTTTTTGTTTCGCTCATTAATTTTGGTCGGGTCAGACCAGACGTGGATTTGAGCTTTTTTCAGCTCTCAATTGGCTTTTGGGTTTGAAGTTTGAACCAAAAGAAAAGAGATTAGAATACAAAATTGGGGCTCTGTTTTTTGATCAGAATGTGACGGTGTCGTTTGTGAAATGTAAACGAGTGACAGTGGTTGTCCGCATCGAGGCCTAAACAAAACTAGAGCGTGGCGCTGCCGTGGGAAAATTGGACCACGCCACTGCCGACCCAACAACACTACTTCAATCGTTTGTTTCAGTCACTAAATATGTTATATGTGGACATTTTCATGCCTACAAATTTTGTGTGGTTCATTTCCCATTTCTTTTCTTTTCAAAAGATTTCAACAATTATACCTTTTTTCCATCTCACTGTCCCCTTCCAAATCTAGTATTTATGACTAATTTGTCTAACCGACTTATACTATCATTCAAATTCTATCTATTCAAGAGTAACAACTAAAGTAAATGTAAGCGTCATTCAAAATTTAAGTACGTAATTGGTCCATGGACTTTTATGGTTGCTTCTAAAGTATCCAACTTTGACAAATGTATGATAAATCTCTAATCTTTTTTATTTTTTCTGACAAAGTTGAGTGTATTACAAGGAAAAACAAGGATCTTACAACTTGAGATCAAAACATAGAAAGAATAAAAAGACTCGTAAAAAAGGAGACAAAAACACGGATAAAAATACAACAACAACACAACCAAAAAAGATAAATGGCAAAAGAAACACCACAAATGAGAATAACTCAAATATATAAATTTCAAGTAGACCCTATCAACGGTCGAGAGTTAGAACAAACGCTATCCCGCCAAGTCGTGACATGAGCAAAAACATCACTTTATACAATAGGTAAGATAACTGGGTCAAATGAGAAGCATTCCCATGAATCCTGAAATTACGTTCTCCCCCAATATGAGAAAAGAGTCAGCCCAAGCAAACCTCCGTACTCTACATCTTGACAAATGATATTTAATAATGCGACGAATCCATGCTAATTTTATATTAGATAAATATGGTGTGAGGAGTCTATTGATATAATCATACCACTCTAAACAAATTTACCCAAAAATATGGTTTATAGTCTCAATCTCGTGAGAACAAATAAAACACGAGATTGGAATAGAATTTTATGTTTAATAACTTTGAAAATGTCTAATAAATCAATGGTTATATTTAATAAATTCTGTGAATTAAAAAGGAATAGGTTAGAAAAAAGAAGATAGGGCTAAATTTATAATTTAAATTGGAAATAAGTAGCATTAATTATTTAGGCATCTGGGACACTCATACAAGTACAACAATTTAATTGAACTAATAAATATATAAAGATAGTAATAACTATAAGGAAAAAATGAGGGCAGGGGTGTTCCAGTAAAATGACATAAAAAAGGCGAAAGTGCAGAAGATGACGTGTGAAATTGAACTGAACCACGCGCAGGAGAATAAAACTTTTGCGGATACTCGCCCCGGGGTTGAACTCCGTTGTCGGATGGAGTAGAAACATCAAATTGGACGGTGAAGGAAGCGAGTTATTTGATGCCCGCGGCTGGAAGCCTAATTTCTGACCATTCAACACAATTTAATTTATGCTCCACGACCCTCAATCAATCATTGCCACACGATTGTTCTAGAAAAATATTGACCGTAGATCTAGCACGCTACCACCCAACATGTATATGAGCACGTGCCAGGGAATATGTGCCAACATCATATCATATCTCGCCACTAATTTCACAAGTTTCAGTTCGCCAAAATTTAATTAAAATAAATAACATATTTTTACTAAGTCAATTAGTGAAAATATCTTCTAAAAAATAGATTAAAATATTTATTTTTATTATTATCAAAGTGAGATTAAGATCTATAAAACAAACCTTTCTTCTCGTAGTCAGTTATTTTAAGTTACATTACTTGAGAAATTCTATTTTCTTTATCAATTTCTACTTCATTATTAAAAAAATATATGTCAAGAATATTCCATATTTAAATAAACATTTGAATAATTTTATAATATATATTGAATATTATCAACAATATTTTTCAATTCAAGCTTGTTTAAAAGAGTAGAAAAAGTAGGAAGGCTGAACTTTTATACATATATTTGTATTTTTCTAAGAATATAATCAATAATTCATGGCATTGAAAGAATGTATTTAGCTAAGAGTAGGAAAAGTATTTCCTAAAAAGGGTAAAATGACGTCTATTGGTCCCACCTCACATATCAACTAATTGATCAATCAAATTTTTTTTGATAGCGAAACTATGCTGATCAAATGGCCAATGTAGGCACATTTTGGTACGTGTTAAATAAAAAGAAAATAGTACTAACTAAAAATAATAATAAAGAATGGTAATAAAAAGAGAATATAATTTTTGTCATTTTTTAAGTTTAGGTACAATTCAATAAAATCTTATATAGGTAAAAGAAAAGAATTATTTTTAGCAAAGATAAGTTTGAGAAGGCACGACTATGCCCAAATAAGGATTCACTTTTTTAAAAATAGAAAAGAAAAAAAATAAAGGGCTGGATAAATTTGAAAGTATATGCATATATATAAAAAAAGTGCAGTGCTATTGGTTTACGTACTTACTTTAAAAAGCTTGAAAGTTGAGGTTTAATGGCGTAAAATTAGTGGATTGCCCTTTTTGCCCCTCAAAACTTTAAACCGGTTGACCACCGAGAATGAACCATTGTTAGCTTAGGTTGACGATGACCTATCTCTTATTAACCACAATTAAATGTTTGATAGTCAAGAGAGATATAAAAATAGAATTACTTTTTAAACACTATTCAGCATAGAAATAAGTTATCACCGTATAAATTTAGTAATATAAAAAATCTTTTTTGATTTAAATTAAATAATCTAGATTTTTTTAATACAACAAGTGAGATATTGAGGATATGAACTTATGATCTAGTCAGAATCAAGTGTCAATTACCGTTAAGTTAAATTTATGTTGACAGATATTTTAGACTATTATATCTTATAAATTTACATAGTAGGTCATATCTATTTTCTTTTTTAATAATTATGTAGGTCATATATATTTTTTTAATAATTGAAATCTATCTCCAAAATATCTAGTACTATGAAAAATAATTATCTTCCTAAATATTGTTCATTTTATTTTAAATTTATATAGAAAATTTTGTAATACTTCCATTGAATAAACTTATGAGTTTGATCCATAAACCAAGGCTTGTTTAGTAGATTTTGAAACTTCAAAAAAATATCTAATAGTTCTTACATTTTCAATTTTAGATCTAATAAGAGTCTGAATTTTTTAATTTTTATCTAACACATCTATAATTTAATAGTCTATTTTTAAAGTTCAAGAACTTAACAAACACAAAAAATTTAAAGTTGAAAGACCTATCTAATATATTTTAAAATTTATCAAAATTTAAAATTTAAAGACCTATCTAATATATTTTAAAATTTTTATTAGACATAAATGTGAAAAGTTTAAAGACAATTTTATAATTTTACAATTTACAAAATATATATATATATATATATATATCAATTTGTTCAAACTTATTTTTATACATAGTCAAGTCCATTTCCTATAAAAATCTGGATCCGCCACTATTAGTATCTCTCACCGACACTATCAAACTTTTGACAAGTAAGAGAAAGAAATTCAAACATAAACATAATTTTTCTATTCTTAAAAAATTTAGAGAGGAATCCAATTGATCAACATGAAGAGAAGATGACAATTGTATTAGGACATAGGTACCACATCCATTATTCACTTTTGATATTATAAATATTTTTTATTTCTAGTAAACTCCACTCCATTTTTAATACGATGCTCATATATGACATGCAGACCATGACGGGATCCAAAACATTTTTAGTACCATTTTTTTCTAAATAAGTGCTAACATAAGATAGGTAAGACTCATCGATACCCGAATATTATTGGTGTTAATTAAATTACTTAACTTGAAAGCTAGAGAGAGGTGTGGGTTTGATCTGATTTTATCTGTCTAAGTAGAATAGTGTAAATGTCCAAGTTTTAAGATTTGGCATATTTTCTTTAGTTTTGCCTCATCTCATTCACTTTATCCAAATTTCTCACACTTTCAATCCATCATCATTTGCTATAAATGCTGCTACTCCCTTTTTCGAAATTCTTTCATTCACATTATAAAAATTTATTCAAAACAAAAGTATCAATTGCAGACATATGACAACATATAATAACTCAGTCGATCCAACTATTTGAATAAAATAGTTATTATATTCTTAAGATCGATAGTTTCATCCTCATCTTTATAATTATTGAATTAACAAAAAAATTCAAGCTAATTGTAACTTTTTTAGAGGTGGACTCAATTCTTGTTGTACTGATCACGATATTAAGTAACATCAAATTCACCTCCTTAATTTTGAAGGGTAATTAACTTGTATTTCTTAAGGAAAAAAAAAGAGAAAAAGAAAGAAAAAGATAATGACTAATTACTTTTAAATTTTTATAATAACATCTTGAAAGTTTTAAGATTTGGTTAATATTTTTTTAATTTTATTATCGATGTCTTTGCCATCAATGAATTAAACTAACAAAAGTTTTAACATGATATGTTATTTATGAATTATATTGAAGATGAGTTCAATAATGTAATATTTTAATTCAATAATAACGTGATATTTATTTATTTTTTATTATTATTATTTTTTTTTAGAAAAACAACGTGGGATTCAAGTTAGATATAGGTTGAAAAACATGAATTAAATTAGCTTTTAATCCAACTTTTTATAAAGGTATAGATATAAAATTGACACTAGGGTTATAAGAACTAAAAATCTAAGAGTTTCTCAGAAAATAATATTTCATTTTTATTAGAAAACTATTTGATAATTACGATATAGTGGCTTGTAAATATTATTATCTTAGCATAACTATAATAAGGTTATACTTATAAATACTAAAAATTATTTCATAATTATGATCTAGTGATATATGAGAGGTTGACCGAACTTGTGATCTATTAATTAGAAATACGTACCAATTACTAGTTTGCTGGGGTCGTTTTTGGCAATAATAATCATTTGATTTCGGTCGGAAACGGATCGCTTCAATTGAATGGGACTGGAGGAAGATTCGATTAATGCCATTCAGACCTTCACAAATCGCCAACATCTCTAGGTATTTTGTATACATCCCCGTTTAATGTCGTAAAACGGCAGCCAGCGCTAATAAATTTCACCCTTATCATTTCGTAGAATCTATCGAAGCCGCATCGTCGTTCAGTTTCCAGCAACCAACGGGAGGAGATTTCCATCGCACCAGCGGCAGGTTTGAATCCGACGCATCTGAATTTCTTAGTTACATTCTCTATATTTGATGGAACATTTTTTTTTTCTATTGTAGTCTGCAACGGAAGTTCTATCTGGGTGTACACCTCTGAAAATAGCTTTGTTTCTCACTTGCGTATAGCGGTAGGGCAGAGAAGCATTGTTTGGTTAGAAAACTTATTAAAGAGCACATCTAATTTCAACTTTAAAAAAAATCTTAATGGTCAGCAAAAATAGAGGATGATCACACTTTGCGTATTTGTTATATTAAAAATAAAATTTTGTAAGTGGCTTTGAAGGGACAATTTGAAACGTTTAGTCGCCTCGTTTCTCATTTTTTTTTAGACATAGACGGATTTGGTAATCCATCCTGAAAGACCTTTGGTCTGGTGTATGTTTAGTCTTGCATTTTATTTCACCTTCCACTTCCCAGGTTCGATCCCCCACAACGGCCCTAAGCAAGAGATGTTAGGGGTCAATTAAATCCATTGGGGACATTACATACAAACAATTACACATTCATAAACATAAACATAAACATAAGATGAGAGAAATTAAAGTTAAAAGTAGCACAATAATCCGAATCCCCTTTAGTTACACCACATATATCTATGAGATCTACCGCCTGGATGGATCAATAAACCACAGTTTTCTCAAACTCAGTTTTCCCAAAGTGAATAATCTCAACAAGAGAAGTAGTATTATTCCCACTCCCTTTGTACTTGTACCACTTGGAACACAAGATGAAATACCCCAAGTTCAAAACTTCCAACGCGGAAACCAAGAAATAGAAGTAATCCAGGCGACCCTGGTTGAGATCTTCCGGCAGCCAGTTGCCGGTGCTCAGGTGGTGCACCACCGTCACCATGAAACCACTCAAATAATTGGACAGCGCCAGACCCACAAACGAGAACGAGCCCCCAACGCTCCTCATGCTCTCCGGGAACTCTTTGTAGTAAAACTCCACTTGGGCAATGACCGTGAACGCCTCCGACAGCCCAATCAGCGTCAGCTGAGGGAGCAGCCACAGCGCCGACATGGACGAAATGGCGCCCCTCCTCCCAGCTTGCTCGCACAGGGGTGCAGCGAGAGCCAAGTTTCTTCTTTTTTGTTCCACCATGGCGGACACGAACATGGTGAGAATGGCGATCAGGATACCGAAACCCATCTTCTGGAGCAGCGTGATGCCGGCTTCTTTGCCGGTGATCCGGCGGAGGGAGGGGACCAGGATCCGGTCGTAGAATGGGATCCAGATGGTGAGGCCGATCATGGTGAAGATGGTGTAGGAGGCGGCGGGGATTTTGAAGTGGGTGGCGCCGAGGCGGCGGTCGGATTGAAGGGCTTGGAACACCACGTAGGTCTGTTGTTGGGTGGTGGCGACGTGGTAGATTATTGCGGATGCCCATATTGGGATCACTCGAACCAAGCATTTCACTTCTTCCACTTGCTGTATGCTGCACAGTGTCCATGGGTCTGCTGCTGATCCGTCTGACTTCAGTTTGTCCTCTGGTGTTATCATTGCTGCCTTGTCTAGAAACCTGCATCCAAAAGATCAAAAGAGTTGAAAGGAAATTTTAGATACACATGACTCATCTCATCCATAATTGATACGAAGGGAGTACTCAATATATATTAATATGGTATAAGAGTCCAACAAATTAGTAAGTATCCCCATACATATTGATATTTTTCAAGCCGGAGGAAAAGTAAGGGTCTCCTGTTGTAAACTTGTTTTCTGCTTCTAGATTGACGTAATCAGAGATTCAATGAATATACCTTTGGCATAATGAAATTTTGAAAACTAATTTTTTATATTTTCAATGTTTTCAAATTTAGAGTTTAAAATTTTTAAAGCGCAGAATTACATTAAAAATGATAAAAATTTTGATAAATATATTACTTCATGTTATAAACTTGTTAAAATTCAAACATATAAAATGTATTCTAAATTATATAACGTTGTAAAATAATAATTATACAAAATTCATAAAAAATGTTAATAAATTAATTAATATAGCTTTAGATTAAACTAGATAACTTTACAAATATATTATTAGAATATAACTCTGGTTTCATCCGATCCTTGTTTTTGATTGCCAATCATATGCATTTCAAGTGGTTTGCAAATAATTTACCTGAATTGATCAGTGTGAGGAAGGCTGGAGTTGATGGAATTGGAGGGAATGTGGTTAAAAAGAGAGGGCCATTTCTGGTCGGGCAAGGCCAGGCGTCTCTTCTTGAGAGCAGCCATCAGCACACGCATGACGCTGGTGAAAGGACTCCCATCGGGTTCCAATTTGACGTAAATCCAGGAGCCCATGAAGAAGAGTGCACAGGAGAGGAACATGAGAAACGCAGGAATGGCCAAGCCCCAAGCCCAGCTGAGTTCCGTTTGGACGTAAACGATGACGGTTAGAGATATCATCATGGCGAATGTGAAGGTGAAGTAATACCAGTTGAAGAAGCTGTTTATTCCCAGCTTCCCGGAGGCTGTGTTGGGATTGAATTGGTCGGCTCCGAATGCCAAGTTGCACGGTCTGATGCCGCCGGCTCCGATGACTAGCAACCCTAATCCAAATATTAGAAATGCCATCTGCCATGGCGTTGCCTCCAGGCAAGGGTCTGGACTGTCCTTCCCACAATATGGCGGGTGAAAATTTTCAAATGTTGCTGTCAGTGTTACTACAACCATTCCCTAGGGCACAACAAAACCAACCAAGTTAGCATTTTAAACTTTGATCCATATATACAACGTTAAGTTACAAGTTTAGTTCATTGTCACTCTCCGCTCGAGTCCTTTAAATAAAGTGTTTAATTAAGTTCTTAACTTTTTAAATTCTATATCTAATAGGTCATTGTTTTAAAAACTCACAAATTTATTTGACTCAAAATTGAAAGGTAGAAAATAAGTAAAGTACCCCCGACACAACAAAATTGAAATTTCAATAACCTATTAAACACTTTTAGTATTAGGAAGGCAGAACATGTATAACATTGGTTGATAGAGGGAAAGATCCGTTATAATATAAAGATAAGATCTTCATTAGTACGAGTGTTTTTTGATTTAATTCAAAAGTAGAATATCATACATCTATAGTATCATTTGTGAAATGTGAAATTTATGCTTGTGCATGCTTGTAATTATGTATATATATATAAGTTAAACTGTTTTGTTTGCAATGTGTGTGCATGTGTTTCTGAATAAGCTGCATTGTTGGTTTATATATAGGAGATGGAGTTAGTACCATAAATGAAGCAACAGAGGCATATCCTAAGGTCTTGTAACGCCCTAAGTAAGTGTCACAAAGAAATGCTCCAAATAAGGTGGAAAAGTTGGTGCTGCCATGGAATATGTTCATAAGAGTTGTAGCAGTGATGCTTTTCATATGAAATATATCTGTCAAATACACCAAAAGGTTGGAAGAAGTGCCGGTTGTCCCCAGCTTCTCAAAAGTCTCATTCCCTAAAAAAAGCAACACAAAATCCAAAACCCACATACCCAATTAGACAAAACCCTCTAAAATAAGTACCAAAAGAAAAAAAAAATGGAAGCTTAATCTGTTTTGCATTGGCTTGTCATCATACCTACAACAAAGGGCATGGCCTTCACTCCTCTATAGTTGACCTTAGGCTCATCAAGACTGTGGCCATCTTCACTTCTTTCCATGGCTCTCCCTCAGAACCGCTCTCTAGCTTCTTAAATTGCCACCTCTATCTATACAAGTAGTCCTTTTATACTGATATACTGAATTTGTTAGTTACTACTTAATTATATGCTTCAATATTCCATTTGTTTCTTTCTATTCGTTGGAAAAGTTGTCAACTTTGAATGTGCTGTATCAGCATATGAAGTGTTTTGGTCAACATAACTACTTGTTGTTAGCTTTCAAGGACTGTGATGTGTCTTTCCCTCAATAGTAATAAGGACGAAGATGTAATGAGAAAGCGAAATTAGTAGATAGAAACAACGCTCGCAAAGAGTCCTATTGAAATCAAGAAATATAGGCATGCCTTGCAGATTATCAAAGTCCTCGTTTGGCTAATATTGTTGTATTAATCTTATTTCTTTATAATCCCACAATAGCATTCTCATTTTCAGTGACTTTGAAGCTTTTAATTCTTCAACTTTCCATTTGAGTGCAGAATTCACCCATTTTTTCTTATACTAACCGTTATATTTGGTATTTTTGTGTATTTGAAACTCATTTTTGGTAACTCCAAAGTGTTATTAAACATAGAAGCATCCTCATTCTCAGCTATGTTACTTCCAGTTTACAGTATGAAATATTTCCATTTACAGACTTTTCCAATTGTGATGTAATCGTACCAACCGATGAGACAAAGCATGTTGATGCTTTGAAAACCCCAGTTAATGCCAAAACTCTTCACAGTGTGGGGAAGGCACAGGCTGTGAAATTGCTGTTCCCGGCCAGAAAAGCAGCAATTTGTAGCCTTTCAAGTTTCAAAAGTGCTGAATTAATTAAACAGCTTTCAGTTAGTACAACAGTTGCATATATGTACCATTTCCCAATCTCTATTAAACTGCTCAAAGATTAATAGGGACTTCACTTCATAAATGCCCTGCCTGAGTCTTGAAATAAAAAAAAAAAAAGTCTCACACTTCAATAATGTGAGTATAGTTCAATTGGTTAAGACATCTATTTTTTATTAAAATATCGCGAGTTCGAATCTCCACTTGCACACATTATACTAAAAAAAGATTTAAGATTAATTTCCACCCGTCGCTCTTGAAGTTGGTCCAAGATTGAAATCTAGTAGGTTAAAGTCAGAGTGGATTCTATGAAAGTGATAGCATGATGTGTGACATTATTATTTCGTTTTGAAGGGGAAGTAACTTCCAACTTGAAAGTGACAAAATTAAACATCGTTTTCAAATGCAAAAAGTAGAGCATATGTCAATCCAACTAAATATTTAGGCTTATATCATTTGAACTGGAGTAAACTAGTAGTCTAAAATATATTAATTATGAATGCTAAATTCAAAGATTAATTTTGTTGTTATAGGAGAAGGTCATAGGAAAAAATCGTGTCTTAGGCTTCAAGTTCACTGATTGGCTCAAAATAAAGCCTTCAGTTTTACACAAGTGGTTGAAAATTTGAACTCTGAGCAGTCAAAATGTTGAAAAATCCACAGCCTTTGAGGTATATCATCACATTTTCGAAACAATCTCAAATAGTTAACACATCAGTGTCTCAGAGATTACCAAATGGTGGAAGACAACAGCCTTTGTGTTTGTGCAGTGTGGACAAAATTTAAGCATTTGGGTTTGAACAAAATTAAGCAAACCATTTCATCCAAATGGATTTATTTCCAAAATTCTAGTTTTTTTCAATCTTAGCCTAACACATCCAAATTTATTAAATTCATGAGATCATGTTCTCTCAATTCATTTTTGGTCAAATTTAACTCTTCCGACTTTTAAATGTTGAATCTTAATCTTTGAAAATCTTCAAATTTTATATCTATAATAAAGTTTGATGTGCATACTTGTCAATTTGTCTCACGCAATTCAACTAAAATTTAATTAATATAACTGTCATATTCGGTTGGTGTTAATGATGAGAATAGAGACAACCATAATTCAAAGTTCAAGAATTAATTACTTTTTTTAATTTAAAAATCAAGTAAATATAATATTTAAAATTTATGGACTAAATAGATATCATGCTTAAAATCCAACCACTAGTTGGGGTAGTTAGTTTAGTTATGTCTAAAATAAAACACATTCACTCTACATGAGGGGTTTTTTTATTTAATTTTTTAAAATTTGAGTTTACATTTGTTCTACGGGGAAAAGAGAAATTTAGAATAGTTTGTAAAATATTTTTAAAAATATATTAATTTTTGTTTAAATTGGATGTAAAATATCATGATTTTAGACTCGTGTACTTTCTTTAAAATTTATTTATTTTATGGAAAATTGGGCTGCAGGACCTAGACCATGGGCTTCGGGGGAAGAGTTGGGCTGGACTATCTGGTGGATCGGTTTAGTCCAAATCGGGTCTTTAAACCGCTGAACCGAAAAAATAATTTTAATTTTAAGATTAAAATAAAAATAAAAATCGAGCTGAATGACAAAAAGTTGAAATCAGTGAGTTCAATTTCTCAGTTTTTCTTAAATTTTCTGTCCATTTCTACATAATTATGACTTCCCAAAGTAATCCCACTCCAAAAGCGAACAGCCCAATTAGCTAATGTTGTTTGTAATTGCTAAGAAAATTATGATCTTAAGAAAATGACTAAAGATTATGGAGCAGTTAGCATATATGATATGAATATCATCATTAAAAATATGAATTTTGAATCTCAAGGACTTTTTGAATTTCCGCCTTCGGACAAACGGCTATTGCATTTCTGCACGATTTCCCATGCCCATTCAAAAACCTGTCCTTGCTGCCTCAGCTGCAGATGTCAGAACATAAATCCCCTCTCCCTCTCCGCTTCTAAATAGTTCTTAATTCCACCCTTAATCTTCTCCGCCATAGATGAACGAGCTCCAGTGAGTGGTTGCGGCGAGAGATTTCTAATCCGTGGATTCGATTTTTGAAAGGTGTGGGAAAGTGATTTTTGAAATGGGTCTTTTTCTTTGGGTCTTCTCCTTGATTTCAGCCGCAACCCTTTTGAGCCACTGCTCCTTTTCTCTCACTGAAGATGGTAAACCTTTGCCTTATGGCCCTTCCGCCGATGTTTTCTTTTTGGTTTATATTTTTCTCTTAGGCGTTTGATTTCCCAGGTTTGACATTGTTGGAAATCAGAAGTACTTTGAATGACAGTAAGAACTTCCTCAGTAATTGGAGCCCTTCGGATGAATCTCCCTGCCAATGGACCGGTATCGCTTGTCATCCCCAGGACTCTCGTGTCAGCTCAATGTATATCTTCTTTCACACCCATTTAACTTCATTTTTCTTCTCAGTTTGTAACCCATCTAGGCACATTTCATATTAGAATCTTTGGTCATGTTCTTTTGTGGGTTTTCCAGTAATCTTCCATTCATGCAGCTTGGAGGGATAATATCTCCCAGCATTGGGAAACTTAGTAGATTGCAGAGGCTGTAAGCATCTCTATAAGCACCTTACTTCTTTACCCTGATAAATTAATTATCGAGAAATGAATTTCACTTGTTTTGAACTCTGTTCTTCTTTGTATGAAACCAGGGCTTTCCATCAGAACGGCTTACATGGATATATTCCCAATGAAATTGCCAATTGTTCTGAACTTAGAGCCGTGTAAGTAACCACTGTCATTTCTTCGGCCCTCCCTCTGATCATTTGTTTATGTTTGTAAATATTGTTTTATATCCATGAGATGATACATCATCCTGGTTCAGGTACCTGAGGGCTAATTATCTTCAAGGTGGCATACCATCAAATATTGGGAATCTTTCTTACCTTACCATACTGTGAGAAACTTGACCTTTTCCCCTTCTTCGTGATGTCTTAGTTAATATCTTTCTATGAGTCTCAATTTAAACAGGAGCTTATATGAGAAACTTGCAATTGAAATACTCTAATTGTGTTTTAGGTTTTTGTATCTGTAGTTGTTTTGTAGTTTATCTCTGCCACTCAGTTTTTAGGTTTACCATTGGTATTTTGATGTAGTGATTTATCAAGCAATTCCCTTAAGGGCAGCATACCATCATCAATTGGTCGACTCACACGCTTGCGCAGTCTGTAAGTTGTGGTCATTATAGCTACATTTGGTTCATTTTACTGAAAATATTATATTCTTGTTGTGTTTCTTACAACATTAGTACTCGTTTTAGGAACTTGTCTACCAACTTTTTCTTTGGAGAAATCCCAGATATTGGAGTTCTGAGCACCTTTGGGAACGACTCGTAAGTACCTTTACACTGTCAAATTCTCAGTCCTTCTATCCATGCCAAATACCCTGAATAATTAGCTTGGTGTTAGTAGTATAATACGACTAAAGTATGGTTTAGCAGCATGCAATTGGATCTATGAAGCAGCCATATTGGCTAATGGATCGTGTACCAAAGAGAACTTGGGAGTTGGGATGAAAGAATATATTAAACTTGTTGTCCCTACTCAGTTTCATGATAATGCCAAATCAAGAGAAAACATGCCATTTCTTTGTTTGCCTTGTCTTCAAAGTTCTTATTGTCTTTTCCTCTCCCAATTTATCCTATTCATTTGACTTTGTTCCTCAACCTTTTATGTATCATGAGATGTAGTATCCCTTGGTGTGCCAGGTTCCGTGGTAATCAAGATCTTTGTGGGCGGCAAGTGAACAAGCCATGTCGGACCTCACTGGGGTTTCCTGCCGTTTTACCACACGCTGAAAGCGATGAAGCCACAGGCATTTTTCTATACATTTTAATGAAGTTTTTTGTACCACTTATAGTCATATTGCAAATAGATGAATCAGTAACCTTGTTTTCTTCAACAGAATGACTAAATTCACAAGTGAACTTTAAATGCTAACACTGCTTTTATATTACAGTTCCTGTGAAACGATCCTCTCATTACATCAAAGGAATATTAATTGGAGCAATGTCGACAACGGGGCTAGTGTTGGTCGTACTTCTTGCTTTCATGTGGGCTCGTTTGCTATCGAAGAAAGAAAGAGCTGCCAAGAGTTACATGGAAGTTAAAAAGCAAAAAGATCGCGAACAAAGTGAGCTATTCCATTGGTTTCTGGTTCTTTTATTTTCCTTTAGGTTGTGAATTTTCTCTCAGAATAATGTCTCCACTAACCTGCACAGCACATCCGAATGTAGGTGCAAAGCTTATTACATTCCATGGGGATCTACCGTACCCAACATGTGAGATCATAGAAAAGCTGGAGGCCCTTAACGAAACAAATGTTGTTGGCTCTGGAGGTTTTGGCACCGTGTATCGGATGATCATGAATGATTGTGGAACATTCGCTGTAAAGAAAATCGATAGGACTCGAGACGGTTCAGACCAAGTAGTCAAAAGAGAGTTGGAGATATTGGGAAGCATTAAACACATTAATTTAGTGAAATTGCGTGGTTATTGCAGGCTTCCTTCTTCAAAGCTTCTTATATATGACTATCTGGCCGCGGGTAGCTTGGATGATTTCTTGCACGGTACCATCATTCTATTGCTTTTCGTAGGCGAAATCGCTAAAAGCTTCTTCTTTTCTATTCTTTGTAATCGTGAGTTTTCATTATTTGCAGAGCATGGACAAGAAAAGTCTTTGGATTGGAGTGCTCGGTTAAACATAGCGCTTGGCTCCGCTCGAGGATTGGCGTACTTGCACCATGATTGCTGTCCAAAGATTGTTCACTGTAACATAAAATCCAGCAACATTCTTCTCGACGAGAAGTTAGAGCCACACGTATCCGACTTTGGTCTCGCAAAACTTTCGGTTGATGGGGATTCCCATGTCACAACTGTTGTTGCTGGCACATTTGGTTATTTGGCTCCAGGTGCAATTCTCTTTACTTTTTTGGTATTAGCTGCAATGGTTCAAACTTCAATTCAGAATATTATTACTATAAGCTCTACTTTTCTTGAGCAGAATACTTGCAAAGTGGGATAGGAACTGAGAAGTCAGATGTTTATAGCTTTGGAGTTCTCTTGTTGGAGCTTGTAACAGGGAAGAGACCTAGTGATCCATTTTTCTCAAAGAGGGGATTAAGTGTTGTTGGTTGGGTAAGCTAACCTCTGCACGATTCTAAGTTCTTGCATTTTTTTTCGTTTTCTCGATAACGACACTCTTAATCGAGTATGATCATGACTTGTAGTTGAACTCGCTCCGGGGAGAAAACCAGATGGAGAATATAGTGGATAAGAGGTGCAAGAATGCAGATGCCGAAACCGTAGAAGCGATTCTTGAAATCGCAGCAAGGTGCACTGATGGCAACCCTACAACACGACCTACAATGAACCAAGTACTGCAGCTGCTAGAGCAAGAGGTAATGTCGCCATACCCGAGCGATTACTCCGAGTCTCAGTCGGATCATTCGTGAATGGAAGTAACTTGGTGTCTTGTTCACTCCAAGCAACATGTTAAGAAAAACTGGATAACAAGTTTGAGTCAGATAGTTTTGAACCCACGTTCTTGTTGGGAGAGCTGAGTACATGTAAGTTTCAGTCTAATTCGAACACTTCCCTGTGATTTTGGATTTTCTTGTCCGAAATTGAGCATTAAAATCTTATTCTTGAAAGAAATTTGTTATATAGGCTGCAAAAGGCACAAAAAGTTGCATTCTTATATGAGTTGGGAGAGCCAAAATTGAGAATTAGGCAAAACAAAGCTCTCCATGCACAACAACTCCATAATATTTTTATTATTAGTTTTTAGTTAAACAACACGTGGGAGTGGAGAATCGAATTTCAACGTGTCGGTCGAGAATATATGCGCCTTAGCCAAATAAGTCATGTTTAGGTTAAATACTTTGCTTTATGTTTTTCAAATGGTTAAATATACTCAATAATACTTCATCATTTAGATTCTCAATTTGTGTTTATCCTTAATGTATTAAAAAATTTAATTTTGGTCATTTATTGAGAAAATTGTCTCAATTTATTTACAAAAAGTTGATGTATCATATATTTAAACACGTGTATCATGTTTAGCTTTTCCAAAGTGACTAAATAATATTTTTGCAAACTGCATGACATCTCATTGCCAACAAAATTTTCTCATGACAAAATTAACAAAGAATTGGATAAAAGCCACGATTAGAAGATCCAAGTCAAAGAATCGGGATCTTGGGAGTGCTTGGACAAGATTGAACAGATATTATTATGTATCATCCATTTTTTTACTTTTATTTTTATTTTTTTATAATTTTTGTAGTATGATAGAGATTGGAATTCACAAGCTTTTCGTTGAAATTAATTGACTTAATAATCTGGAGCAACATGCTCTGATGATCTATTTTTTTGCCATCTGTTTTCTTACTTGACAATTGCTTAGGATGTGACCATTCTTTATTTGAAATAAAAGATTTTTTTTAATGCAATTCTCTTTATTATTTGTAACAAATTTAATGATGATTCAATAGACGAATATTTAAATATTGAATTGAACATATATATATATTTTTAGTGTGTGAACGTCTGCATGTGTGACTCTAGAAATTTTTTTAAAGGAATTTTTAACTGATAAATAATTTAAAATATAATAAAAAAAATGGAGAAAAATTCTTACGGTAAATCTCCATCTTGATCCCAAGAAATCTCATGAGGATGGATAATTAAATGGGAGGCGGGAACTCGGACGGGGACGAAAAAGTCTTTTCCAACACCGCCCCCGCCTATGAATATGCTTACTTATCTTGCTGCTGACTATTACTACAAATTCCTTAAAAAAAAGAAAAAAAAATTCTCCCCTGCATATCTCTCCCATTTCTATCAAAATTGGAATGGTCAGCAGTCATATTTAATTGCACTTTTTAAAAATAAGACGACCCGTATGAATTAAGAAAGCATTACCAAGTTGCATACTTGCATTTCAAGAGAATGGGAAGTGCACTGCCCTTTATCTGCTGCTACCAATCGCCATATACAAAATCAGATGTACCAAAGCTTGGGGTAGGGTCCATTTCCATCTGGGATTTGAAGGCTGTCGGCCCTTCAATATGGAGTTCACTGCTCAGACATTAATTCCCACGTTCATGAGAATCGACCATGTCCACTCGTTCGTGTGTGCCCTCACAAAGATGACCGACTCCACCCGGCAACACCAGCAAACAAACACACTAGAATCCCACTACGATTTCAATTTCAACCCACATCTGAAGACCCAACCATTTTGGAAAAGTAACCATCCATGAGGACTGAAGTCGGAAAGAAGACGGCAAAATGCTGGGCCCTGGCCCCTCGCCCTTTATGTGTTTGATGATATTCTGCAGTGGGTTTGGTTTGCCACTTGCAGGCCAGGGCGCGGTGGTGAGCCCTCATCCTAACCCTTTACCCTCTTTCTTCAACACCGAGATATTATTATCCTGATTCATCATATCCTTATTCCAACTTGTCTTATTCTAATGGGTTCTACACCAATCGCGTAGTTTTCATGTTGATGTGAGTTGGCTTTCATATGTTGTGTTATGGATAATGAATTAGAATGGCTGATTACACCTCTGGTTGTATAGAAGTTTGTAGTCTAGACAGCAGAATTGTTACTTCCCTTTCAGTTCTGATGGTGATATAATTATATAGCTTTTCAATTTCAAGTTTTCAACTGAATCAATGGGGGTCGTACATTAATTAATCTTTATTACCTACTGTAAAAATTGAAACAACAAACTCCAGAAAGAATCCGATGGCGATGGGCATTTCTCCTTGTGTGTTAGATGATATTTGTCACCACTACATCAGTAGATGTGTGGTGAAAAAGCAGAGGAAAGAAAGGGAGTTGTCATTTTCGAAAGAGTCTAGATTTTTCTTTTTTGGCTGGACCGCCATTTTGTGAGTCTATAAATACAACCCCCCATTTTACTCTTAGAACCAATTTGAATAGAGAAATCTGAATCAACTCTTCATTAAAAACTTTTAGAGTCCCGCCAGTTGTCCATTTCCGTACTTTCCCACCGAAGAAAAGAGAATGTCTTCCATCACTGTGACTCCATTAGAAGCTGAAAAACATGTGGTGGGATCGCAGTTTAATTTCCTCACTTATTCCTTCATTTTTATGTTTTTTGCTTTCTTCTAACTAAACACTCAACTGCCTCTATCCTTCATTATAGGAAGAAACTGATGAACATGAGCTGAACGTTTGTGACGAAGACTATGTTGACTGGAGGAAGAGACCTGCTGTGAGAGGACGCCATGGAGGGATGCTCGCTGCCTCCTTTGTATTGGGTCAGTATACAAGCAGCCGACTATATTCATTTCTCAACAAGTCTTTGATTCGCGTGTCAAAATTCATTTAAAAGAATAAAAGTTGCCACTTACATCTTCTCTTTCTTCTTCTTTACAACTGCAAACGTACATCAGTTGTTGAAGTATTGGAGAATCTAGCGTACCTGGCCAATGCAAGCAATCTTGTTCTGTATCTGTCTAAGTTCATGCATTATTCTCCATCCGGTGCTGCCAACATTGTCACCAATTTTATGGGCACAGCTTTCTTTCTCGCTCTCCTTGGTGGCTTTCTAGCAGATGCTTTCTTCACCACTTATTCTATCTTCTTGATAAGTGCTGCAATAGAATCCTTGGTGAGTTTCTACTTTCCACCAAAGTTGCTTCCTTTACAATATGATTGCACGTGGCTTCAATATATTTTTTTTCCATCTGCACCTGCAACTTGCAATAAAATGCATTTTGTCACCATTTTACATCAATAGTTGACATTTCACTAGTGGATCCAAAACATACAAATCATTCATGTGCTTTTGGTCCCGCATCTGATGCCGTGTCCTCAATGGTGGTTTCCATTTTGGGAAAGAAACCTGTGAGTGTGCTCAAATTTTGAAGATCATGAACGTATGGCCTGCAGGGTCTGCTAATTCTCACCCTCCAAGCTCATGTACCAAATCTGAAGCCACCCACATGCTTTCCAAATCAACCCGGCGGTCCATGCCGGAGGGTTGGGGGTGGGGAAGCGGTGATGTTATTCGCCGGGCTTTACCTGGCCGCGCTGGGAGTCGGAGGGATAAAAGGGTCGCTTCCTCCTCATGGGGCTGAGCAGTTCGATGGGACCACCTTAGAAGGAAGAAAGAAAAGGTCTGCATTCTTCAACTACTTCATATTCTGTCTTTCCTGTGGAGCTCTAATTGCTGTGACTCTCGTGGTGTGGATAGAAGATAACAAAGGCTGGAAGTGGGGTTTTGGGATCTCCACTCTTACAATAGTAATCTCTATCCCTATTTTCCTCCTTGGTTCGCCTACTTACAGAATTAAGACTCCGGCAGGGAGCCCAATCACCACCATCTTCAAGGTACTCAAGTTCAAACTCTTGTTATTTCCGGTTACAATTCTTCTAGGGTTTTTTTAGTACAAATATGTAGGGTGGGGATCAAACTACGACCTCTTGATTAGAGATGCCAATTACCGATAAGCTTGTTTCTCTGTTTTTATTTTCTATTTCTCATTTTCTAATTTAGTTTCTATGTAATAAATATTTTAAAAAATAATTAAGTTATATGTTTGGGTATTTTTTTTTTTCAATTTGATCCATATTATTTCAAAAAGTTTTAATTAAATCTCTTATGTTTTTAACATTTGTCCGTTATACTCTTCCCTTATTAATGTTAAAATTGGATGATAAGTTTATCTAATATAGTAGTTAGTAAATAGGTAGAAATTATACCACTAGAAGAAGTCATAATATTTCTTAAAAATTTATAGGAGAAGTTGGAAATTTTTACTCTTTTAGATCGCTTAGTTCCTCCTCTAAATTTTTACGTTTAGTGATAAAAATAATATAATTGAAAGGTAAAATGTTAAAATTTAAAGAGATTAAATTGAAACTTTTAAATGTTAAATACTAATATATATATATTATAATAATAATAATAATAATAATAATAATAATAATAATTTTTTATTATTTTATTTTAAAAATTAATTTTCATGTAAAAATTTTTATTTCTTAAATTTAAAATTTAAGAAAATAAGAAATAATTACCAAATACCTGACTCTTTAAACTACCATAACAATTACTAAACACAATTTTGTTACGAGTAATACTTATAACCTAATTGATTGTCTATTAACACTCCTCTGGTTGATCACCGTTCATTTGTTGAGAAATATGGAGAAAAAATATATTTTTTCTGGTTTCTTTTTAAATAAAGAATTGTCCCATTTCCCTCCATGGGAGGGGGATGTCTTTTGTTAATCTCTTGAAAAAGAGGGAAACAAGAAAGGAAAAAGATTAACCAGATGAGCTAAACCCGCGATCTTTTAACTTGTTTCCCCGACAGGTTCTAGCTTCAGCTGCTTTCAACTGTAGAAAATCAAAGAGGTTGAATAAAGTTGTGATGAGTATGTCCACAAGTTCAGTCTCTTCAGACAGGGATGTCGATGATCATCACCATATCCAGAGCCAGAGTAGAGAAAAGAACCCATCTGACGATCAAGATTCAACAGATCAAGGGTTGGAGTTCCTGAATAAAGCAGCAATCAACAACCCCGACCACCCACAAGTTCTAAAATGCACAGTGAAACAAGTAGAAGAAGCCAAAGCAGTAGTAAGAACATTCCCCATTTTCGGGTCCACCATAATGCTCAACTGCTGCCTCGCCCAGCTCTCCACATTCTCCGTCCAACAAGCCGCCACAATGAACACCAAACTGGGTTCCCTAAAGGTCCCCCCCGCCTCTCTCCCGGTTTTCCCAGTCC